CACTTATTATATTTTTATTTATTTATTTATTTATTCAATTGAAATATAATTTTTTACATATTTTTGGCACTCAAAAGATGACGCTAATAATCAATTCTTATTGTATCTTTATTCTTTTTTTATTATTCATTTTTTTATCTATATTAGTTTCATTTTCGGCATTCTAAAGATGGCGTTGATTCCACAATTTTTATTCTCTTTCTATCCTTTTTTTACTTCATTCTCCTTATCTATATCTGATTTATAAAAAGTTGGCGCCAATATTTGATTAATTTTGTTGCTTTCTTTTTTTAAATTGATTAAAAATTTAAACATTGATTTTTATGACAGATTTAAAAATCATAAGGTTAATTATTAATATAATTAAATTAGTTATTAAATTTATACATATAATTCCAATTAAATTTTCTTAATTCAATTATCACAACAAATAGCAAATATTTAATATATGCGTTAAATTCAAATTCTTTTTTTATAATGCATACTTTCATTATTTTATGTCACGAGTACAAGAAAATTATGAATAATAACCAGGATATAGTTAAACATTTGATTGATTACAAGTATGAGTAAGTTCAAAAATCAAAGCCAGCCCGATATTATCTCGACCGTTGTTAAATTTCTGGTTTATCTGACAGAGCAGCTTAGAAAAATTGAAATCACAATGTAACGCATGTTAAACTACTTCTTATCTCGTGGCATTTAAGCGTCGGTATCCCTCGTAGGACTACTCACACACAAAGACTATAAGTCTACCAAAACATTTCCTGCATGCTTAAATCTTACTCATTCCTGATAGTGATATGACTAATTGCAACGATAATCGTAACATATAACACAGCATAAAATTTCTTTTTCATGATTACAATGATATTTAACAATTTTGTAGAACTGCAAGAATGTAATGCAGAAATTGTAATTTTTTCCTTGCTTATTAATTATATCAAATAAATGTTAATGCATTCTTATAAGTTAATGTAAGTAAATGATATAATCAATATATAAAATTAAACATGTATTTCAAACATGAACAGAAATTCATTTTTTTTATTCTTACAATGAGGTTATGACATGAATAAAACTCTCCTTTAAAGATGGGAATATTATTATCAAGATTCCACTATTTTACATACAATAGTTACTTGGGCTAAATATCTCGCCGAATATACATGAAGAATCATACGTATTATTGTTTTTCTACTTTCGCCGCATGTGAATACCAAAAGAGATTAACGAAATTTAAACTCGTCACTTTAAAATTTATAATTCCATGCTGGCGCCCGACTGTTTACGCCCACGCATCGTTGCCCACAATGCAATATGCACAAACACATCTGTTTGCCATTTCAAAAAATGTTGACTGCAATTCTACTAAATTATTTTATTTAACGATCTACGAAATTTTTCGTTTTTCATTTAATAATTTATAACCGAGTAAAAAATCAATATTAAAATCACATAACATTTAACGTTTATCTTTGTTTGCATCAATAAAATGAACATATTCCCTAATAAATATAATCGTCCTTCGCAATTTACATTCTTGGCGGTATTTCCAACGAAATTGATTTCTCAGGGAAAAACAATGCCTTTGTTTCGTTTTTCTATCGGTTACTTACTCCATTACCTTCCTCCTAGTCGTCAACCTTGGTAAGCGCAAAAGAGGATAAATATCAAACTACGATAAAGCAATTTCAACTTTGTCTTCCTGTCTGTTGTGTATTGGTAACGAAAATTATTATTATATTCTCTCCAATAAATTCATCTATTTGATAAACTTAAATCTGAAAAAAATAAATAACCGCATATATAATTATATTGCATATAATTATTATTATTAAAAATTACATTGATCGATATTATTCATATATATATAGAATGAAAGTTGCATATAATCGCTTGTTTGCGCGGCTATCGACCAAATTTATTAACACGCGTGCCTATTGGCGATGTATCTTCTCGACCAATACGTTTTATCTCCAACGTTTGCAAACAGCACAAGCGAACCGAAACGCACGTGCGTTTTGCAAGAGGCAACGGGAGCGAGTATTGACTCATTTCGCGCAACTTCCACGATTGTTGTTCGAACTTGCCCGCCACAGCTGCAACTGAGAACAGAGTCCAAACGTGCTCGATTTCATGATCTCTTATTGTATTGCTTGCAAATTGTTCGATGGCATTTTTATGATTAAATTTTTCCTTCTTTGTTTCAAATTCTGTAATATCAGCAGTCACATGACATTATCTTAGACTTGTGTGTTGCCACGGAAGGAATACAGTGACTAATAAGTGTATGAATATATAATATGGTAGCGGCTCATTTTTTTTTGTCGTATTTCATATTTGCAAAAATTGTTATTCTAGATATAATTAGATTTTAAAAGATTATATTGATAACTTATCATTAAGTATTTACTATATATAAGCTTATCATATCATATCGTATTATCATATCGAGACTAATTGAATCAAGAAAATAAAAAAATATACTACATCGAAAAAAAAATAAACAAAATAAAAAATCAATATAAATAATAATAATCAAATAGTATATGTTTTTGTATTCATCAATTCAATCATTATTATTCGCAATTGCTAAAATAGCTAATTTTTTTATCTGTATTACACATAAAGATAAGATAAGAAAAGAAAAGAAACTTGAGTTGGTTGTACCAATAAACCAATCGTCATTTCAATTATTAAATGCGCATATGTTAATATCAAGAATTTTTATAATATATCTCGCATGATGGATGCGCCTCCCTATCTTTTTTTTACTAGGAAAATCGATAAATGATTTGTTAACCTCGAAATCACGAACGACACTTAACCTATATTTTAATGAAAAACAAGCAAATGTGAAACAGGCAAAACAACGAGATTCGTATTCTCTGAACTCATATGAGGCAGATCACTCTCGCGGCACCGATTTACAAAATGGCAATGACATTCCTTGGCGTCGTAATTTTTCCAATCGGGTAACGTTTCAAATGTGCTGCTAAGTCGAGGCCTTGGCTATAGGCAGAAGTTAGCTCAAGGACGACGACCGCCTGTCTATTCGAATTTCATCATGGTGTGAAGCTAAGCAGGTGAATGTCAATCCCTTGTGCTTCATGCCCGTAATGAGACGTATCTTTTGTAGTATAATACTGTGCTAAATAGATCTAATTTGATTAAAAATAACGATTATATAAATAATTATTAGAAAATATAAAAGATAATATCGTATGATATTCAATAAATAATAATAATAAATTCAATCGAAATCTTTTAGTATTAATTAGATCATAGCCTAAAATTAATTAAAACATCTTATCTTAGTTTTTAATCCTTTAATTTTATGCCTGTGTAATGTGTATGTCACGATGAAAAAAAATTGTATGTTATATTACGATAACCTCTTCTCTTTGTTATTCGCACCAGATATTTGAATCTAAAATAAAAAATTATCTTTTCAATCCGACAATGTGTCGCAGTTTACAAGTAATCGTGCATAAAGCTAATAATGAGGTAAAGCGAGATACTATTAACCTAACCTAACTTCTTCGTGTATCTTGGTCACTTGGTTACACAGGTGGCACCTGTATGCTTTTAAGTGGAGGAAACCACAGGTTCAGGAACGTCTAGCCATCCAGAGGGAGCAGGTTAAGGCGCGAGTATCCGACATATCAGATTGGTGAGTCATGCGTCTTGTTCGATATGTTCCGGCTACCCCGTTCACCGCCCACACAACTCGACGTATGAGTCATCCGACGATTCTTGGAAATGAAACGTGCCGCAAGTTTGAAATTTTCGTCGCCAAGTGACGCCACTGCAGTCTACTTTGGAAACGATGGCTATAAAACACAGTAGTATATAGATTCTGGCATTCAATACTTCTCCTCGGAAAGTTCCGCTCCAATAGCACTTATCAATTACGCAATAACGGATACATATATTGCTAATAAGAGAAAACAAATGATGAAATGACATTGCAATAGTACTATATGAAATAATCAAAGATGAAAATAAAAGATGAAAATAATTGAAAAAAATTGTTGATTTCATATATAGAATATAAAATAAATAAAAATAAAATTTGTTTTTCGAATAGGCACATAACTAATAACGATATTTATAAATATAAATATTAATAATGAGAAACTATTTTTGTATTTCTGAATATCATTATTTGATTTAAATAATATTTGTATTTGTGACATATGTGTTTAAATTTGATTTTAATATAAATGAAAATATTGTTTAATATAAATTTCATTATTTATCATCTAAATAAAATATTATTTTAACGATTATTTAACGATTTTTATTTAACGATTATTTAATGTGACAGTATTCTGACAAGAAAAACCCATTAATAATGCGAATAGAGCCGGCCCTGGCTCAAGCGTTGCGAACGTAGCACGACGAGCATCGCGATTGGTCGCCTGGGAATAGCTAGTGACGTCATACATGTTCGTGGAGCTTCGACAAGTAAAGAGAGTCGAGGCAGATCGTTGAGCCGAGGATTGAACGTGCGCGAACCTCGAGGTATTCCCCTACGGCATGAGTCATCGGGCACAGTTTCACACAGTTTCGGCTAAAAGAACCTACGATCCGTGTGTGCTGCTTTTAAATTCTCCTTAACGAAAATTTTAACCATTCTTATAGTTATATCAGAATAAATCTTCTAATTGAGGTTATAAAACGCCGCGAACAAACCGTTGACTTTTCCTTTCGCGCGAGAGAACGAAGAAATAATACCGTTGCGTCTTGACGACGTAAACATGAAGCTCGATGTGTCGGATGTACTTTACGACAGCTCGAGCGTGTCCAGCGACAGCGGAACGTCACAGAGCTCCCGCGTCAGCCATGATTTTCTCTCCAGCATCACGAATTCGTCTATACTACCTAGCAATGTAAGTACCGGCTGAATTCTCTATCTTACATTACTACAGAAATATTCGAAGAAAAAACAGATTTTACTATGTAAATATGGCAACTTATGCAATCTTAAGATATGTATATGTAGGCATATGAATGTGTGTTTGATAAACAGCATATATTATTGCTTGTAGTATGATATATGAATTTCTTTAAAATACTTGAATAGAAACTTATCTAATGAATAAAGATCTAGTAAGTTTGTTACGTAATATAGCTATCTTAAATAATTAAGCATTATTCAAAATAATATGTTTCATTATTGCCAATATATTAAAAAAAACTATCAAAAAAATATCATTGTTAATATTTCTAGAAAAGATGTTAGCTTTTTCTAACCTTAATGATCACGAAACAAACAATTATCGCTTATATATCAAGTTTTATAAATATGATATTAAAAAATAATAATAAAAATTCTTCGATTTCATAGAAAAATTTATTCGTTGAAAATCAGAAAATAAACAAAATGCTTTTATGTTATCTACTTTTTTTACGATTTCAAATATATGCTTTTCCTGGTAACAAAAATTCAATTTAAAATTAAGGATAAAAAGTTATATTATTTTCGTTTGATTAGAATTCGTAATTAGAACATACTTGACAATCTTTAAACGATGCTGTAGTCGTTACATGAGGATGGTACACACCGAGATCTAAATTTATAAATCGCGTGGCGTCATCGCTATAAACTGTTCAACGTAAAAACATGATTTTCAATTTTCATATTTTCCGACTGTTGAAATAGTGATAAGATTTGTTCTATAAATAAAACATGAATAATATTGGTACAACAATTTCAAATCTATTCCAATGCAAAATTTCAATACATATTCAAATAAACACGTTTTATTGTGACTAGGTATCCATTTAAGGTACACACTATACATATAAGTATCACCAATAAACTTCTGAGTTAGTACAGAATTAACCAATCAAATGCAATCTTATACATTATTGTTGTCTTATACATTCACTTATCTGTTGATGAATAATATCTATTGAAATATTTTTTTAACAAAATTATAATTAATAATAAATTATAATTATTTAAATTATAATTATATTATAATTATATAAATAATAATAAAATATTGTTAAAAAATTAATGATTAAAAAATAGGAAAACATTTAAACGTATACTATGATAATTTTAAAATAACAAAATTTTAATTTTTTTTTAATAAAAATAAAATTGTAGAGATAAAATTAAATTATAGTTACTAATTCTTATCTACTACTCAACAAAACAGGTTCCAGAAAAACAGAACATATTGATGTCGAATGGTTTTATAGATATGAACGATTACGTTAATTTCCATTTTCTTTTCCTTGCGTCACTCTTGGCAATAGATGCATATAAAAATTACGCATGTTTCCTATGTTACATAAAATATCATGTAAATGAGAAATGCGGTATAGTCCAACAAAATTCAATATCACAAGATGATAAAACGATAAAATTCTTTGATATAAAATTGTTAACATATAATGTTTTAAATAATTTTAGTCGAATTTTTTTGAATATGTTATCCCATCGAAGTTTTCCTTTTTACCCTAGGTATAAATTCTGTGGTAGATGACAGTATTGATCTAACATTTCGACTGACATGGCTTCTGTTGTTCACAACAGCTGTTTTATAAAGAACTCGTACACACTCGGTTCTACAGCGCGTGGTCATTTAAAAACACGCGCGGTACCAATACGTTACACACGTGCGCATGAACCTTAACGCTTATGTATAGTATGAGAAAGGAACAACTATAGATCGTAGTGTATATTGCGCAGTAGTAATGTTTTGAACAGATAGCCGACCGAACAGCCAGCTGTTGTCACCTAATTATCTCTGTCGCCATTAAAAGTAAGGTTAGAAAAGAAAGACAGAAAAATCAACTGATAAAATGCAAATAGTTATTGTGGAGAAACATTTGTGAGTTCTGTCAGGGAAAGTATAGCGCATGATGTGATTTATAATTCTAAGTTATGAGGTTTAGGGAAAAAGGCTTATTGTTCCATAAAGAGTCGACATAAAGACCACCATATTCAGATATTAGATAGAAAAGAAAATTCACTTCAGGTAGAAAGAAAATTTATAAGGTATTGTGATGAGAGATATTTGAGTTTCAATTATGAGAATTAAAATTTATTTGTTTTTGTTTATTCATTTACTCGTGATCAAATTTATCACATTAACTTATAAATGGTGATTATTTATTATATTATTATTATTATTATACTATTATTATTATTATACTATTATTATTATTATATTATTTATTATAATATATTATTATTATACTAGATTATTAGAAAGAAAATATCTATTGCTTATTTATTTTGCATTTAATTTTTTTAATCTTTTTGTTTTAAACAATTATTTAAATAAAAAATTTTATATTGCTCTTTTTGATACTCTTTATCAGTAACTCGAATCATAGTTAACAGTTAAAATTTCTTTTAAAAGAAGCCATAAAACAGTAAAATACAACTTTGTTCAAAGGATTATCTGTTACAAACACATCAAACTATTCTCAGAACTCAAAGTTTTCGATTTGTCGATGGAACGTGATGCGCAGGAATCAGTAAGTATTCAATCGGCAGCAAAGTCACGGAGACGTAATCTTGTTTCCTGGTACTTTCTTACCCATTGTATCTTCTTTTATTCCCGATAGAGAATGTTTAGTGTTCATGTTTTATCCGAGACTAAAATAAAGAGACCGAATCTTTTGACGCGTATATTCAAGAAGAAGAATAAGAATCGACTGATTCACAGTGATGTGTCTGATTATTTATTTCCTTTTGTTCTCTTAAATATTCAAACTATCGTCGTTGTTTCAATCCGTTTATGCACACTTTTCCCCATAGAAGAATCGACCAAGGTTTCCGCCTTTCCCTCGCATGATTTTCGGCGGCCATTATTATGCTGCGCGCGCAATGCGAGTCGATCTTTTGGTTTACCCACAAACATTCGATTAACCCGCTGCTTTAGCCGCGTGCTCATTAAAATATCTCTTTGTTCGCGGTAAGAACAAAGCCATGATCCATTCACGTAGTTGTCGTCGATCTTTAATTTTCCTTTGTGTCCTCTATTAATGTTAATGTGTCATAAGTGAATCGTAAGAAATCATCGATTCTTTTTCCTATGTGATTAACAGAATTTGTCAAAAATTTTCCTAACCTTTTTTCTTAACCTTTTTAAAGATGTTGAGACAATCATATATTATCAATGTGATAAATATTTTATTTTTCTTAAGGAAGTTGCTTATACTTGGCTTTTAATTAGCAATTATCTCAAATACTTTTGTAAATATCCATAAATATATATAATTTGTGCAAGAAACAATTCAAAACGAATCTAGCAAAAAATTTCTTAAATAATTAGTATATGGCATCTATCTAAGATTAACTTAATTATAATTTTGATAAGTCTTTTTAAAAAAATTGTTTTTCTTGATTGAATATAAGTTTAGAAATGGTTAAGCAACTGTTTGGATCGTTTATTATAGACAGTTTGTAGCGTGCATGAGTCATACTTTATTGACATACTGCGCTTCTTGCACGAGACTTTTCACCAAACAGAGCCATAAATCTGCCAAAATTATATTTTCTTCAATGTGTTTTAAGAAACTGATTGTTTCCTTACCGTAAACAATACAAAGGGCTTTGAACTTTGAACTACGCATAGCAATAATTTTCAAATATGCAAAATATGATAAATCACAATATTGATTTTCATAATTTATATTATATCTGCTCTAAATAGTTCTTATGAAAATATAGAATTTATAAAAAGTATTTATAAAAAACAATTTCTTTTCTTCAAAAAAATTTGAATATTTAATGATATATAAATAATTTGTATATTTGTAAAAATTTATAATAAAATTTTACCGTTCATAAAATAAAATAAAGAAGAATTTAATTTTTCTAAATAATAATTTAAAAAAAAAAAGAAAGAATAACGATAATAAAATTTTACAAACGTTTATGTTAACGCGTCACATTTGTACAACAATCTTTATGACCTTTTCTCTGTACATTCTGCACACAGTAGTTGGCTACGCATGTTGTTCTTTTCTTCTTTTTCTTTTTTTTTCCTTATTCGTGCATAAAGTACGTTCACACGTACGTTGCACCGGACTAACAGAGTTTACACAGAGTTTGTTGCACGTGTGTTCACGACGTATATATGTTATACATATCGAACAAGAACAAAGAACTGTGCATATACGAAGGAATTCCCAGTACAGAAATAGTAAGAAGTGTTGTTGCTTTAGTATAATAAACGATCTTTCGCAAACGATGATCACTAAACTTCACAATGACTTCTTCTATTTTTATCATTTTGTAGCCTCATATTAAATTTGGAATCATAATAAAATTATATGTTAAGATTTAAAAAAATTTTAGGAATAAAAATCTGATATATAATGAATTTATATAAAAAAGAAAAAAAGAAACTTTGAGAAGTTAAGCTTTGAGCTTTTATATAGTTACCGAATAAATTTCTTCTGAATATTTCCTTGATATATTTTCAGTACTATTGTAATAAGTTATTACACTTCGTATATTCTTTGCGATATCATTTATGAAAGTGAGAAAATTGCATTAATTCTTTTTTAAGTATGTTTATACATGTACAATTGTTTATGTATATATCATGTTGTTGCCTTGTCTGATTAGTGATGTAGATTATAGTTTCATATGCAGTATTAATTGAAACTATATAAGTATTTTAATATAACGTATTAAATTATGAAATAAAGAGAAAATTATTGATTATTGAAAGAAAGAAATAAGTTTATTAGATGTATATGCATTTCTTAATATTTTTATTAGGATTTAAGGATTAAAATATCAATTAAAATAGTATTACTTTTATGTAATTTTTTACGTTTGAATATTTTTTATTTGACAATCAAATGATTAATTGGCGCGCATGCGCGGTTGTTCAAAAAATTGAAATGAAACGATTTATTAAACTTTTGAAATTTTTCTTTTAAAATTAACACAAATGATAAAGATCTATTTGACTATCTTTATAAAATTATGCAAGTTGAGGACTATACGTAGTTTACCTGGAAAAGGGAATCTAATTCTTTGTGGAGTGTTCCCCAGTTCTGTGGAAATCATCGTGATACGAAGACATAGTGTAGACAGAACACGTTGATTGGCCGCGCACTATCGCGCGAATCAGCAATCAAGATGGCGATGACGTCACGCGAGTTTGCTCGACGCTGATTGGTGGGGGGTCGAACGGCTGTCTTTCTATATAGTTTCCCAGTCATTGGCGGGCTCAGTTGGGATACGTAAGCGCACGCGACACTATCTTGAATACATAGTAACTCGTTGTTACATAGTTGAACTTGTACGTGACAGTGCGAAAAGGCAATGATGACCATTCGTACGTGTCACTTTTTATCGAACAGTAGTGGTACTTAAACCGAAACGTGATATCGGTGAACGTAAAAAGGTGCGACCTGCTTCATCGCGAGTGTACTTGGCACAAGTTCAACACATACTTTTGAAGTTCAATTTTTTGGACATAGAACTATCCTGTGAAGGACTAACGTCTTTTTCATTTTTTGTTTGTGGTGAAACCTTGAAAACGAAACGCGCTCACAGATGACGCAACGTGTACCCAGCACAGGCTTTTACGACAATATTGTCGAAGATCACAATTACACCATGTTTTCCATGTATCCACCGACTTCTAACCTATCAGATCCGTGGCAACCAAGCAAATTAGACAATATTATGGTAAGAGAAATTTAATTAAATTTTACGTATTTTACGTATTTTTATCACACGTCATGTGTCATCTGAAGGAATAAATTATATATACATATTTTAGTTAAAGAATTTATATATGTATATATATACATATTGCTTAGTCGAAATATATATATATATATATTCATAAATAAAATATAGGATACTTGAATGTTTTATTGAACTAGCACAAATAAGCATCGATTGTATACATATCGTTCAGGTGTCATGTTCGAAGGTCGATCGATATGGTCGAACTAGAACTATCCCTGAACTTAGTCGCAATTCACGTAGAATATTATATTTTGAATTTTTTTCTTTATATGAAAGAATTTAAGTATACATTCGAAATAGCATGAAAATATTAATTAAACATTAAGCTCGAAAGTAGAGAACATATATGATGAAAGTGATTACAATTAAGTTGATAATTGTGGTTCTTAAGATGAAATTTCTAAGAAGCATCATTATCGCACGAAATCCTTGATTGTTTTACCAATCGAGTTCCATATTTTCAAAAGTTTCATATTTTCAAAGCTTGACAAATATTTTTGACAAATATTGATACTATTTTGTTATATTTTTTCGATATAAGTAGAAAAATACATAAAAGAAGAAATATTTAAAAATTAAGTTACAATCTCAATTTTTTATTATACATTTATTTCAACAAAATTTCTTCTAAAGAAGAATTCTTCTAAAGAATTGAGAAGATCAAGAAGCTCATATTTATTACAGTCAATTATAATATGTAAGTCGAGTTTTAAAAGAGCTTCTCATCTTTAATGACCATTACCGTCATTAAGACTTACCAATTCTTGCGAACCTAAACTATTAGTCGAAAATGACTTTCGACTAAGCAATATCCTATTTTACAACACATCAATTTGTAAAATTTAACTAATCCCTTTTTTATGTAATCTCCATAATACTTAAGAAATCCATATTTGAATCTATTATCATTAGACAAATTGCTCATTATTTTGAAACCTTTAACATGTAATTATTATTATTAATATAGATAAAAGTAATTATAGAATTTTCTCTTAAAAACATTTTTTAAGTACCAAATACCAAAATATAAAATATAGTATAAGGAATTTTTAGATAATATTTTCTATTATTTATCAACAATGAATTTTTTTTGTTCAATCATTTTTTTATTCGTCAATTTTAGTCATTAAACTTAAGAAGATTGTCTTAGAAAGAAAAGCTTCTTCTAATAAAATTTTAGCATTCTTTGCACATATGATACCGAAGGAAAACAGTTAAATCTGACAGGAAGCCCAGAGTTAACGCTCGTTAACCCACCAATTAGAGGGTTTAGTTAAACGAAGGCAGGGTTAAGTTTAGCAAGAGCAATATGAACGGGTCATAAGGCAAGAGGTGTCATCCTGCCTCTTAGCCTCTCAAGAAAGACGATATTCTCTTCGTTGTTGTTCTCTTTATACCATGCACACAATATATTCTCCAATTACTTTCACATGAAAACTCGCAACATTCAATAAAATTTTTAATAACTTTTATCTCATCATTATCTCTGCTTATATTTATCTATTTTCAATTAAATAGAAGTTTTAACATCTTAATTATTATTCATTAGATTAGAAAATTTTTCAATTTAATGATTTTACAAATATTAAATAATTTATTTCTACAAAAATAAATAGATTTTTATTACTTTCCAACTATCGTTATCGTATCTAAAAATTTTCCATCATTTCCCTTTCTCATTTTGTTCTATATATCATATTTAGTTAATTAACATTCTTTCACATGAAAGAACAAAGAAAAAATAGAATCGCTACAATTATATCTCTATATCGACATCCTTCCATTATCCTTCAATTATCATCCTTTTTCTCTTCTGTCGCGGAAAGGAAAATCACTTTGTTCCATCGTTGCGGCGATCTTTGAAGGATACAGTCTATCGCCCATACTAGATTAACATGAAAACGCGTAAAAAACGGAAGTTGTCCACTTCTTTATTTTCGCCTGGCTTACCTCAGTCCCTCGGTCGCGTATTACGCGGGATGATGATTCATCGGGGCCTCGCGTAGTTTAACCAGCGATTTATGAATGAAAATCCGAGCACGTGTCGCGTGAGCAACTCGGCGTACCGCGACACGCGAGATCGACCGCCATTATTATTCGCGATGCCTCGTAAACATGTCGATTATGCTCCCGCGAGACATCCGGTACCAGGAAAAACGTTCACAGCTTCGATCTCTCTCGTGCATGTTGCTCTCTGTTGTAATTGTTCTAACTAGATTCCATTTTTTTTTCTTCCTTTTCTTCTTATTTTTAGTTATTACTGATACCGGGAAAATCAAATCCGGATTCGTTCGGTTTAAGAATTGCGATGATGTTGAGAGGTGTAATTTGCTTGAAATTCAATTTACTTTAATCTATTCTTTGGCTTTGGCTTGAGTTTGATGGTTATTCGAGAAAGTTTTGGAAGGATTGGATTTTTTTTTTTTTTATGTTCTTAAATATAATTAGTTATTTTTAAGGTAATTCGGGTTAAAAATGATACTTAATTATATTTTAATTTTTCGACGAGTAAAAGGTAATTGCACAAATTTTACACTCTTACAAAATAGCCAATTTTTTGCGCATTACAAAATTCCGAACGATTTTTCAGAACGATGATCAATTACAAACTCATTAACGTTTTACCAGCAGCCTTCCTTTAAGTGAAAACCTAACGGTGGAAAGAGAAAAGATCCACGCAATATCGTAATATCTTCGATAATTCTTTTTCCCCTTCGAAATTAACGGATAAAAAGAATCGTGTAGAAAAAAATATCGTTATTGCGAAAACTCCTTCGATACAACAAAAAACGTTTATTTCGTAACGTACATCCGCCGGTATCTATTGTAGGAACAAAATTATTCCAATCTGGTTTTAAATGCCTAACGAGAACTCGAACTGCCAACTTCGTACGGTTTCCACGCTCGTAAGATCATATTTTATACTTATATTTATTTTTCGCCTTTTTTTTTTCCATTGGATAGCGGATAGTCCGTAATCCGGTGTGGTCGACCTCGAAAGGAGGTCGATTCCACGGAAAGATATCTTGCGTGCGAAGTGACGTCAATACGTTAACACTTTCCCCTCGAGAATGCCTCGAATGGATGTCTTCGGTTTTAACGTCTTCTCGATGCTCCACCTTCTTATATCTACCTGTTGTCGGTGTTTTTCCCTTCGGCTGATTGCGAAATCGACGCAATAACGGTGGATTAAAGGTAATTTCGATCTTTCTAGCGTTTTTATTTTTTATTTTTTTTTTTTCTTTATCACAGTACGATAGTATTTCTTTCTATGAAACTGATTAATGATTCGAGACATTAGGTGACTAAGATGGAAGCGTTTGAGATTTGCTTAATGCCATTTTCAGGTTTCTATCGTTATAATTATTGTAGAATTTTTTCTTTTTCTTTTTTTTTTTTTGTGTTTCATTTCATAGAAAATGAATCTTAAAGCAATAGAAAATTTATATATCGTAATTTAAAATTTTATTATAAAAATTTGGTTCTCAGGTACACAACTTTTAAAAAACATAAATTTCCTTGTACAAACTATAAGAACGTAATATCTATTACTAATTACTAATTAAAATATTTAAGTTTCTAAAAATAATCCACATCTCTCACGATTATCCTATATTAAACAAAAAATTCTCGATTAATAATACCGTCACATTATTTTACTCTCATATTTTAAACAATCTTCGTCACATTGATATAATACCATCATCGGTTCCAATACCTATTCACTTGTCCTTCGAAGAGACTACAATCGTATCGTATCGATCGCCGAAAAGACTCACGAATTTACGCTCCGAATCCAATTGTTTCCACATCAAGATCCGTCCGATTCCATAAAATATTTAACATACCAAGCCGTGCCTGTCTGCCAGGAAGAATAGACATTACGAAGGAACGTTTGAGAAAACACGTGGACCCATCTCTCGTGATCCTCGTTGAAATTGATTTCCGGCCGAGTGGCATGAAAGAGAAACGTTAGTCGTCTTATTCATAGCTTGCATTCCTCGTGAAAGTGGTCTCGGTGTGTTAAACGAAGAGGAATCAGGTTCAAGAGTCGGCCTCCTAAGCTCGTTGTATGCCGGTTATAATTCAAAAAGACCTCTTCTTCTTCATCCACTCTTCCCCATCTGATGGTTATGATAAAGTGGTCCACCTATTCATTCAGGGTGATGCTCGCCCTTATAAAAGGTGCTGGCTCGTTTAAAAGGTCATGGAACCCTGTATATAGCCCTTTTTGGGACCTTTGCTCGTATGTGGGACGAACGTGTATCCAATTTTGTGAAACTTATTATAACCTGTGGCAGTTTGAAGAACCGTGGCTAGACAAAAAGAACGTGGGTGACTTTTAAATTAGCGTTACCATATTAAGCAGTTCATTATAGGTTAATGCGTTAGAAGTTTCAACATTGTGCCTTGAATGATATTAGATTCGACTTTTAGTTATTTCTCTTTGTAGAAATTTTAATATCTTTTTTTCAAATTTTCTTCTGATACTCTTAAATGCATCTTAAAATTCTGAAAAAGTTTAGATTTTAATTTTATTCATTCTTTCTTAATATATATTCCATATTTTTCTATTAACATCACCAAAGTTTCTCCTTATTTTTCTAAAATTTGTTTGATATTTTAAGTTTTTAAAAATTACAAAAAAAAATCAAAATTACTTTCTGGAAGAATACTTCACTTTATATTATAATTATTCATAGTCGAATACATTAAAGAGCTATGATAACGATGCCTTATGACTCATCAAAAAAAGAAAAAAAAAAATTATATTCCAATCTAAAAAGTCTATCGAATAAAATGCAACGTGCCCAATTATAAGTAACTACCTGCCCTGTTTTTTTCTTCTCGCGTGAGAATGCAGAAGGAAAGAGAGAGAATCGGTCACGAGAATTGGAGCGCGTTTAAGAGGGAGGAGGAAAGGAATAGGGAAA